TTAGATGATTTTAGCAATTTTTTGTGGACGTTTCCTTTGGCAAATAAATCTAATGTCTACCCCACATTTTTACAGTTTCATGCTTATATCCGTACTCAGTTTGGCCGTCCGCTTAAAACCTTTCAATGTGATAACGGAAYTGAGTACAACAACCAACTTTTTCATACTTTTTGTAAACAAAGTGGCATGTCTTTCCGTTTCTCGTGTCCTTACACATCTTCTCAAAACGGCAAAGCCGAACGTAAAATTCRTTCAATTAATAACATCATTCGAACCATTCTTACTCACTCGTCTCTACCACCATCTTATTGGCATTATGCTCTTGCCATGGCCACGTATATTCTCAACATTCTTCCTTCTAAAACTAAATCCCATCTCACTCCCACTCGTCTGTTATACCATAAATCTCCTACCTATTCTCATCTTCGCGTCTTCAGATGCCTCTGCTATCATCTTCTCCCTACTACTTCTATTCATAAACTTCAAAGCAGATCTTCACCTTGTGTCTTCCTTGGTTATCCTCCTAATCACCGAGGATACTTGTGTCTTGATCTTTCCACCAAAAAGATTCTTATCTCCYGTCACGTTCTATTTGACGAAACGATTTTTCYGTTTCGTTCCTCCGCCCCTACCCAGTCTTATGAATTCCTTCACAAGACCATCACTGACGATCCACATCCTTCCATTCGCCATTACTACCATCTAAATCTCTCACCTTCTCCTACTTCCGAACCTCAGCACCCAAACTCCACTACCCAAACCCCAGCCCGGTTCGGCCACACTTCCTCACGGCACCGAACCAAACACACTAATGCCAACCAGCCGACATCCACATCCACTACCGAGCCTCACTCGGTCCATCCCACAACCGAAACAGTACCAGAACCTACGGCTCCCGGTACTGCACCTCCATCACCAAATCCCTCGCCACTACCGGCCCGCACCATGCAAACCCGTAGCATGACGGGCCACTCCAAGCCACGGGTACCTTTTTCCTTTCAAACCTCTACCACCATCACACCCCTTCCCAAAAACCTACCAGATGCCTTAGCCAGTCCGACTTGGAACCATGCCATGCAAGAGGAGTTCTCTGCTCTTATTGATAATAAGACGTGGGAGCTTGTACCGCGGGACCCCAATATGAATGTTATTCGGTGTATGTGGATCTTCAAACATAAACTGCAATCAGATGGGTCATTGGAAAGGTATAAAGCTCGGTTGGTTGGGGATGGCCGCACTCAACAGGTAGGAGTTGATTGTTCTGACACATTCAGTCCTGTGGTTAAACCCGCAACCATACGGACCGTTCTGACTATTGCTTTGCATCATCATTAGGATATCTCTCAACTTGATGTAAAGAATGCCTTTCTACATGGTACACTTCATGAGACGGTTTACATGCATCAGCCACCAGGATTCAGGAATGCTAATTTTCCACATCATGTATGTCGGTTAAAGAAGTCTCTATACGGTCTCAAGCAGGCACCCCGGGCATGGTACCAGCGGTTCACAGATTATGTTGGTACCTTGGGATTTCGACTTAGATCCAGTGATAATTCACTGTTCATTTTTCATCAGGGACAAACTGTTGCCTACATTCTTCTATATGTGGATGACATCATCTTGGTCACCTCGTCTCCAGCACTRAAAGCCTTCTTCATGACTCACTTGTCTACCGAATTTGCCATGAAAGACTTGGGCCCTTTATCTTACTTTCTTGGCATCTCGGTCCAGCGGTCCCCCGATGGTCTATTTTTATCAYAGGGACGGTATGCTCAAGAAATCCTCGAACGGGCCMAAATGGAAGATTGCAATCCGGTATTATCTCCTGTTGACACAACAGGGAAACTTAGCGCCAGTTCTGGCGATCTGATTGATGATCCCACTACGTACCGTAGCCTTGCGGGCGCACTCCAGTACCTCACATTCACACGCCCGGATATTTCCTATGTGGTACAGCAGGTCTGCATGTTTATGCATGCTCCCAGGACTGGTCATTTTAATGCTCTTAAACAGATTCTGAGATATGTCAAAGGCACACTTGGCATTGGGATCATGATGCGGCCGTCCTCCTTATCTACCCTCATTGCTTATACTGATGCCGATTGGGCAGGTTGCCCAGATACAAGACGCTCCACATCCGGATATTGCATTTTCTTTGGTGACAATCTGATCTCCTGGTCGTCCAAACGTCAAACCGTTGTCTCGCGCTCAAGTGCTGAAGCTGAATATCGGGGGGTAGCTAATGTTGTGGCAGAGTTGTGTTGGATTCGTAATTTACTACTCGAACTTCATTACCCCATTCGTCGTGCCTCGCTTGTCTACACTGATAATGTCAGCGCCATGTACATGTCTGGTAATCCTGTTCAACATCAACGGACCAAGCACGTCGAGGTGGATATTCATTTTGTTCGCGAGCTAGTCCAAAGGGGCTATGTTCGAGTCCTGCATGTTCCATATCGGCATAACTTTTCAGACATATTTACTAAAGGCCTACCGCGGGTTTTATTTGAGGATTTCCGCTCCAGTCTAAGCTTACGAGATCCTCCACCTTAGACTGAGGAGGTGTATTAGACTAGGTTATACGTTAATGTAATTATGAATAGTTAGAGGTATCTAAATGTAATTTRTATTATTATATAATGAGATCAATGAGAAGGGGAAAACCCACGATTTACACTCTATCAGATGCGATAAAAAAAGAAGGCTGTCTCATCTATATTATGCAACAAAAAAGTTTGTTCTCATAAAACACTATTTATTTGTCATTTATAAAAATATGGGTTTTCTAAAAATGTTTTGGTGATTTTCACCCTGTAATAACAATCAAAATGAATTTTTCATTAAACCTCATGGTCTAACCCTCATTTTGTGTTTTAAAATGTGCATTACAGGTCGGACACAATCGGAAGATAAAGAAAAGGGGAAAATGTAAAAGGATCATGATTGCTTTACATGTGTGAATTTTCGAAGAATGTTATTTTATGTTTACAAGTCTTGTATTAGGTTCATATGAAAAAAATTTGTAGCTACTTTTGAGTGTAGCATTTTGTATATTTTTGGACCAGTGTGTGAATATTTGATTTATATGTCATATGAAATACGTGGGTTATATGCAAATGTGATATGGAGTGTTACAGAGAATAAGGAAATTTCGAGATTTCAGGTCAAATAATTCAAGTACATCTTGATTCAAACATATGGTAAATTTGAAATTGAGAGTTTGTCCAAATATTTCCGCTCGTATATTAACGGGACTATTCAAATCTATCCATTTTTTAGAATGGTTGTTTAAACCCTCTTATCTAATAGTCCGATCAAGTCAGGACTAATCAATCATCTTATTCGTAAACAATTATAATTGCTTATTCAAAGAGTGTCGGTTGAACGAAAAATTTGGAGGATGAGGGGTGATGGTCTAAAGTGGTCCAACATATGCACTTCTTGATAATTTGGTTGGTATTTGATTATGGTTGGAATTTTTGTGCTAGCATGCATTACTTTTTTGCAATCATACAGTGGCGGATCCAGTCTTTAAACAATGGTGGGAAATGATTTCAGTTAAAAACTAAAAATCTTTGTTGACTAGTTTAAATTTTTTATTTTCACCCTCGTCTTACATGGTTTCTTCCTAGTCTCATATGACCATATGCTTTCCTCCCTCAAATCCCATCCAATGTGCCCCCATCCCGTTGATTCCCTGATCCGCCACTGCAATCATGACTTTTGTTATGCACACTTTAAAAAACTTATTTCATGCCGTTTTCTATTCTTTAGTCATACAGACGAAAGCAACAATCAACAAGCACATTATTAACCTGTCACCAATGAAAATATAAAAACATAAATCACTAATTCAAAACATTACAAGAATCACATATTTAAAGTATTGATGTAGAACAAATCACGAGTTATTGTTTGATTTTATAAACTTAAGTCATATAAAACCGTTTATTAAAACACTTAAACTCGTTTACATCTTATAAACCCGACCTTCTTTAAATGGTTACAAGATGATTGAATTGGAAATATCGACAAATTCTTGCAGAGTCCAAAAAAATGAATCTCATTTGTAAAAAAATCCCCATAATATCCATGAAGAATTGCTCTTGAAGTAATACTTTTCAAAATATCACTACAACAAAATCGGGTTTATAGGACACTCCCAAATTCTAAGTGTCCTAATAGACCTCTTTATAGGACTTAGTTTATAGGACCAAAAAAATAAAAATATCATATCTAAAGGCGTTGTAATAAGTTTATATGACATTTTTTTAATGTCGTAATAAATTTTTTAGGACATTTTTAATAAAGCATCCCATTAGCAACTTTATAGAACATTATTTGAAAAATTGTCTTATAAAAACAAATGTCCAAAAAATTGAGTTTATAGGACACTATCTCAAAAGTGTCTTATAAAGTTGTTAATGCGACACTTTGTATTAAAAATGTTCTCAAAAACTTATTATGAC